ACGTGTTCCTGCTGCCAGGTACCCACGCGGCCGCGCGCACGCGCTTGCAGACTCCGGGAGCGGGGCTTCTTCCCGGGACTGGCTTCTGCCGGTTTCCGGAGGCCGGGATCAGAGCCCCCGCGTGGATCCGGACAGAGACTTTGCTCAGCTCGATCCACGTGGGCCCCGGGGGCGAGCGGGGACAGCCCCAGTCTGGGGGGGCGGGGGACGAGGTCGAGGGTCTGGGCGCCCTGCAGGGTGCGGGCGTTTGGGATCTGGGTATATCTTGGTAGTGAGATCTGCAGGCAGCGAATCCGGTAGGCCCGGGGCTGTCTGGGGAACTTGCGTGGCTCTGGCACCTCTCCTGCCCTGGGCCAGCCCGCGGTAGTGCCACTGTTGAAAAATGTTGCACCTGTGCTGATGTAACCCGGGGTCCCCGGTCTCGGAACCACAGACCACAAACGGCAAACTAAGCAAAAGTTAATTTAGGAAGGAAAGAAAAGCACCAGACACAGAGGGTGGGGACTCGCAGAGTTGCCATCGAAGGGGCTCCGCCGAAGGGGCTCGACCTTCATGTAGGCTACCTGGCCTGCTTGTTTCTCCAAGGTATGAACGAACTGAACTGGAGTCTGGTCAGACCACTCAGGTCCTATCAGGGGCCTGGTCACTGTCCAGATAGGGTTTTTGCATAAACATGGGCAAGGAAGTAAGCAAACAACCTTGTCAGCAAAAAGACTTAGGGGTTGCTGACTTTGAAATTAACCCAGGGTCCAATGGCAACTTCCCATACCCGCATCCTGTCGCTTTCAGTGCTTCCTGTGTGGGTTTGTGAGGGTCCTCCAGCCCTGTCTGCCTACATGCACCCGGTCTCTCACTCCCATGCCCTGTCTCTCAGTCCTGCCTTCGAATCGATTTCCGCTCCTAGCTACCCTAGCTACAGAGTCGAACTGCCCTGTGGGTTTCCGAGACTGTACAGGGCTAGAAAACCTCATCTTTCTCTCTCCTTAAGTAGAGCTACTGATGTTTTCCAATGGCAGTAACTTGTAACCCACTACACCACTAGGGTAGTGAGGCCTGAGGAACTCAGGGTGAGCAACGGAAGCTGGATCTTGGTTGTAGGATCAGGAGAGTTCAAAGCGATTCAGACCTGCGAAGACCAAGTGAGGCTAGACGCAGGCCCACTTTGCATCCAGATGACCAGTCATTAGGATATGTGGGCTTGGAAAAATAGACTGCCAGTGGCCAAAGGAGAAGTAACAATGCATTAATTGTCGAATAAAACATTTTGGGAACCTAGGATGTGTGAACATCATAAGATTTGTTTTGTAGAGGAGCTCATACCAAGGGCTCAAGTAGAGAGAATGTTTTGAGAATGATGATGGCAACAAATGTACAAATGTCCTTGAGACAATGGATAGATGGATGTATTGTGATAAGAGTTGTATGAACCCCCAATAAAATTATTTTTACAAGGTTTGTTTTGGTTTTTAATTGGCTGGCTCATTTGGTGGCATAACATAGTAAGAAGGGGCTTTCTCTCCACCCAAAATTCTTGGAACAATGAAATGAAAGAAAATGGAATTTTTCCAAGAACTTTTTGGAATCCCCGCTTATTTATTGTTGAGATCGAACTCAGCAGATGGAAGGACCTTTTTTTAGTAAATGTTTACTGGTGAGGACGTACTTGTCCAGTAATCTAGATTTGTGTGGGAAATATTGAAAATTACATGACAGTCTGTCCAGAATTTTGTGTATGTACATTTTAGTCCTTCTCCTTTAGAAAAAAAAATATAACACCACTCCTCTCATTGAGCTGAATAGATTCCAATCTCATAGCAACCCTGTAGGATAAGGTAGAACTGCCCCTGCTGGTTTCCATGACTGTACCTTTTAATGGGAGGAGAAAGCCTCATTTTTGCAGTTAGCAACCCAGTGCATAACCTGCTATGCCACCACGGTTCCAAGAATAGCGTGTTATGCTCCACCCGAATCTGTAAAATGCACAAACCTCAAGTGCAAATCAATTGGCTCTAACAGATGTACACAGCCCTGTAAGCATCCCAGGTGGAGACAGAGAAGTTTTCCAGCCCTCTTTCATGTGCCTTCTGTAGATAAGCCATAGTTATATCTATACACTGGCCTCCCTTGCCGTAGATTAGCTCTGCCTGTTTCTATCACTGAGTACCTCTTGGATCTGGCTTCTTTCACTTCGCGCCTATGATATTCATTAATGTGTGTGGCAGTGTTGTTTTGTTTAGCAGTGGTTTTAAAATCATTGGTGGATATCCACTACATTCATGTCGTCTATTGATGGACATTGGGGTTGTTTGCAGTTTGTAACTACACTTCAAAGATCATTTTTAAAAGGAGACTTTTAATAGGCATTTGTTTCTCTAGGGTTTATGCCCGGGAGTAGAATTGCCAGGTGTCATGGGTTAAATTGTATACCTTAAAAATGTGTCAATTTGTCTGTGCCACGATTCTTAGTGGTTTGACACTTTTATAATGATGTCATTTGGCAGCTATCTAATGATGTCCTCATTTCTAATGTTGCTGTGATATGTTGTGATCTGCAGTGAGCTTAGGGTGGAGCATTAGTAATTATTTTTGCAATTAGGAAGCTGTTTTATTGTTTGTTCGTGTCACTAAAGGTAAAGATAAGCATCAGGTACATTCTTTTGCAACATTTTTAATTTTTACTTTTTTAACATTTATTTATTTTTTGCCTTTTCCTTTATTTATTTTTTTAATCGTTTTATTAGGGGCTCATACAACTCTTATCACAATCCATGCATACATCAATTGTGTAAAGCACATTTGTACATTTCATTGCCCTCATCATTCTCAAAACATTTGCTCTCCACTTAAGCCCCTGGCATCAGTTACTGAAGATAATCCAAACCCAACAATTTTTTAAAAATATTTTATTAGGGGCTCATACAACTGTTATCGCAATGCATACACACATCAATT